TTTGGGAACACAACAAAGCAGACAGGTCAATAGAAGTAAAGTTATCTAGCTTCCATTCCCCACCCAGGGGCGTGATGGAGGAACACAGAATCAGATCGTGGTCAGAGTTTGATGAGTTTCAAGAAGTAATTCTTCCTGGGGGAAGTGACTTGGTGCAAAGCTTTCAAGGAAGGTTAAGTGGTGAGGTTTAAGCCAGGCAGCCTGGCCTAATACCCACAGGATAACACTGCTGGACATCATTTTAAGGCCTCACCATTATCCCTGACCATACAAATTCAGCCTGATCATCAGTGAGTTCCTGACAAGGACATGGTCCCCAGCATGGACCCCTGCACCTGACTCCATGCCTTAGTGCATGCTGTTCCCTCAGCTGAAATACCCTTCCTGGTCCCCTCACCTCTGTAAACCCTATTTGTCCATCAGGATCCAGGTAAAATCAAACTATTCTTCATGAGAATTTAATATCTGCTCAACCTACACTTAATATCTTTTTCTGTATATCAATTCATTGGGACGCTTGATCATTATTATTTTCTTCATTTATTGATTCATTCATTCAACAATATTACCACTCCACCAACAAATTCTTATCAAAGGGCCTACCATATACTGGGAATTACGGTAGATTTGGAGAATAGAATCATAGGTCAAAACAGACTTGGTCTCTGCCCTAATGAGAGAAAGATCATTAATCAAATAATTGCACTGGTGGAAGTACAGTTACAGGCTGAGAAGAGTGGTCTGAAGGAAAGAAATATGGTTTTATGAGAACATAAAAGAAATGACTCTGATGTAGCCTTGGGGGTGGGTGTCAGGATAGACTTTCCAAGAAAGTATAGTTTGGGCTGAGAGCTGAAGGTTGCCCAAGACTTGGCTGGATGAGGAGTTGGAGTGGGGAAGGGGAACGCTCTCCAAATTGGGGGACCAGCATGTGCAAAGGTCCTGTTGTAGGAGGCAGCTTGGCAGGTTCAAGGAACTGAGAGACCACAGTGGCTGGGGGTGGGGATGGGGAGGTGTTGGAGAATAAGGAGAAGAGGGGTGCATCGTGAGGCTGGCAACAAACCCCGCGGAGCCCTGTCGGCCTTGTTAATGATTTTGGTCTTTAACCTAAGGTTGCTAAGATACCATGAAAGGGTTTTAAACAGTGGGTTGATGGGGGCAGAGTTATGTTTGGAAAAGTTTATTCTGCTGCTGCTGTCTGGAGAATGAACAAGACTGAAATCAGGGAGACCAATCAGAAGGCTGTTGGAAGAGTGCAGAAGGTAGATATGGTGTCTTGGACTCTAGGGTGATAGTAGTGGAACCAGAGGAAAATGGGTGCAGTTAAGAAAACATTAGGAAGTAAATTGCTGGGTTGTGGTGGTTGGTTAAGAGAGAGGGACGACGAGTCAAGGGCGAGACTTTGGAGGAGCATCCATTCGGGGGGATGTGATAATGAGTTTGCTTTGAACCTGAAAGTGGAGCTGTGGAGTAGGCAGCTGATCAGGAGCTCAGACCCTCTGAGCTGGGAGTGCACTGGGAGTCCTCAAGGCTCACCGCATCACTTCACCTTCAGGATCTGCTCCAGCCATCTTTGGCCAACCTTTGTCCCGTACCACTGCTTCCCTTGTTCCAGCATTCATTCCACCAAACCAAACCCCCATCTTGAATGTCCATCTCCTTCTCTTGTCATTCCGAAAGGGACAGAGACCAACTCAGGCTTGCTCCCAGTTGGAGGGGGCCTACTGCAGTGGTCTTCAAACTTTCTGCTTAAAATCCCCCATAAAAGGATTTTGTAAAACCATTTACCCTCTCACACATTTTTAAGTTTACGTCTACATTTTTTATTGTACGTCTGCCAAAGATGCAATTTCCAGTACATTGTAAACATTGAGATTTTTAAGTAAAACGATTGCATCACTGTTTTAAATGTATCCAGTGGAATCTAAACACCGTAGGAATTTGACACCCACCATCATCCATTTTAAAAATGCATGAACACGCTCTTCGTTAATAGTCAGTGTTCCTTTTTCTCCTTGAAATTTTACTTCTGTTTCACTTCCCCTGTGAAATTTTACCCTAATGTAATATATGTAATATGCTTTTGTGCTTAAAACTCTGTCGTTTGTTTCCCTGTCACGTTTCGCTGTAATAATTTCATATGAAGTTAAAACTTTTAAAATTTCCTGAAATCAGAAAGTTCTAAATACTAAAATTTTCTTCATGTTTGAGGTATAATTATGATTATTAATAGTATGCAGGCAATCAAAACAACATAAAATATATTCTAATTTGGATAATTAATAAACATAAAAACTAAAATTACATTGAAAATGTACATTAGGTGGTGATGCTGGAGACTTATCAAAGTAATTTTTTTTATGTAAATACATTGTTCTTTTGTTTGCTTTTTGGAGTTTTTTGGGTTGTTTGTTTGTTTGAAGTATAGTTGATTTACAGTGTTTTGCCAATCTCTGCTGTACAGCAGTGACTGTTTTAAACACATATACATTCTTTTAAAAATATTCTTTTCCATTATGGTTTATCCCAGGAGATTGGATATAGTTCCCTGGGCTATAGAGTAGGACCTTGCTGTTTATCCACTCTCAATGTAATAGTTTGCATCTACCAACCCCAAATTCCCAGTCCATCCCTCTCTCTCCCCGCCTCCCCCCTTGGCAACCACAAGTCTGATCTCTATGTGTGTGAGTCTGTTTCTGTTTTGTAGATAGGTTCATTTGTGCCATATTTTAGATTCCACATATAAGGGATATCATATGGTGTTTGTCTTTCTCTTTCTGACTTCCTTCACTAAGTATGATAATCTCTAGTTGTATCCATGTTGCTGCAAATGGCATTATGGTGTGCTTTTTTATGGCTGAGTAGTATTCCATTGTATATATGTACCACATCTTCTTTATCCATTCATCTGTTGATGGGCATTTAGGCTGTTGCCATGTTTTGGCTAAGTAATTTTTTTATTGACATATAACATACATGCATGTATGTGACGAGGTCTGAGTGTACAGCTCAGGTTATTACAGAGTGAGCACACCCATGCAGTTATCACCCAGGTCCAGAGATAGAATCTTGCTGGTGCCGGGTTATCTCTTCTGTTTTTTTATTTATCCATGGAAGAATACTATTTGTTGCATGAGATATGAGACAAGGATCAGCGTCGATTGTATTTCCATTTTTCATTTATATAGACGTAAACACTGAAAAACCCTCATTCACATAAACTAATAGCTAAAAATACAAGTTTTATTAAAGCAGGGTCAACTCAGTTCTTGATCTGCTTCTGAGTTATGTACCAAAAATCACATAGTGATCTATCACTAACAATTATATTTTAATTACTTCTATTAGGCCTTCCTAATGAAAAAAAGAATTGGAAACCACCCAGCTTGCAAAGAAGATTTACTACTTATTTATTAGTGTTGCTCACTTTCAATGTTCTGTGCCCTCTCGTGTGGCGGCTGGGGGAGTTATCCCTGGGGCATAAGCCCAGTTAAGATTTGGGGTGGAATGAGAGTAAGAGGTTTGTCTTTCTTCTGTAAAGGAGGAGGGCTGTTGTGAAAGAACAGGTGTAAAAGGACAACTCGCACCTCTGTCACTGGTTAACAGACATCTGGTCCTGTCCAAAACCATTTGACATGGACCAAATATGCTTTATGGACATTTTGGATAAGACCACATTTCAGAGACCTTTTGATGTGGACCAAATATCTTACAGACCCAATGTCTTATGGTTGTTTTGGACAGGACCAAATGTCCTGCAATTCTGTCACCCATCAGTTCTAGAAAAGGGTTTTTATGGAAATTGAGGATCTGGAAATTGATTCTCTTAAAGCTTTGAATGTGTGTGTATAGTGCTGGGAAAGTCTTCGTGTACTCCCAGGGGTTGACAAACCCCAGTTTGAAGTTCACAGAGGAACCTGTATGGCTTCAAATCAGACTAGACCAGTCACTCAAAATTTCCTAGTTCATGTTTCTAAGAGAGGGAATCTGATTGGCCCAGCCTATTTTTTTGAGTCAGGCCACATCATAGGCTTCCGACCAGGTGGTCAGCACTGGTGCACAGATGTTTCCCTGAGCAGGGACCCCAAGGAGGCAGGAAGCTGTGTACTGACACATGTACTGCTTTTCCTTGAAACTGTCTCTGGTTCTGTTCTTCTGCTAGAAATACGCTCTCCAGACTATGAGTTCCTTATCTGTTATTTTTTACCTTTTTATTACATGCATCTCTTTCCTCCTTGTACTGTAGTTATTCATGTGGCCAATTGCCTTTTCTAACTGTAAGCTCCTTGAGAGATGGCCCATGTCTTAATGATTTCCTAGCATTATGTCTTACACTTAGTAGATGTCTATGTCTAGTAAGTATTTTTTGACCAAATGAATTGATTAATGAATGTCTTCAGCTTCTTTATATCCCCTACAGGACCTAGAATAGTGCTGGGCTTTCAATAGCAGGGTTCCAGAAGAATGGATGAATTAATTAATCAGTGAGGAAAACAATGAATTAACGAATCAATGAACTAATGAGCCGTTGAGCAATGGCTTGAAAGTAAGAGAGTTCATATCTCACATGGGGGATCAGGATCTGCAGAATCAGTGTAAAGGACTGACATGTATGAAACTGGCTATTTCTGATCCAGTCTCCTGTTTTGTGTTTATTTCCATAATGGGTTGTGGTAGATACAGTTGCTCATTGCAAAACATCCAAGTAAATCCTTTCCTGTCCTTTGCATCTTGTCTTGCAGTTGTGAGCAGCATCTCTTCACCACCGTGGTGTTTGGTCCGTACCTCAGCCCGGGTGAGGATGTAAAACCCTCCGCCCTGCACATGCGTGGTAGAGGCCAACAGGAACACCTGGCTCCAGCCACAGTCATGGACATGTCAGCCGTGGAGTAGTGTGGACGCTTTCTCTCTGCTTCTCAGGGTTTCAGTCCTTTCGGGTTTGTGTCATTGATCATTTTTTATGGTTTTGTGGCTGGACGTTCACGATCAAGGCAGGCACCATGGGGGATCAGCAACTGTACAAGACCAATCACGTGGCCCACGGTGGTGAGAACCTTTTCTACCAACAGCCACCACTTGGCGTCCACGGTGGGCTGAACCACAACTATGGGAATACAGTCCCCGGGGCTGGAATGGATGCCCCTCAGGCATCACCCATCTCCCCTCACTTCCCTCAAGACACTCGAGATGGTCTGGGCTTGCCTGTTGGCTCCAAAACGCTTGGCCAAGTGGACACCTCAAGGCAGGGAGGGTGGGCAGGCCATGCAGGGCCTGGAAACCATGTCCAGCTACGTGGCAACCTGACCAACTCGAGCATGATGTGGGGGTCTGCAGCCCAGGCGGAGCCCACCGATGGCTACCAGTACACCTACTCCCAGGCCAGCGAGATCCGGACCCAGAAGCTCACCAGCGGTGTCCTGCACAAGCTAGACTCTTTCACCCAGGTGTTTGCCAACCAAAACCTGCGAATTCAGGTCAACAATATGGCCCAGGTGCTGCACACCCAGTCCGCAGTGATGGACGGAGCCCCTGAAAGCGCCCTCCGCCAGTTGCTGTCCCAGAAGCCCATGGAGCCCCCAGCACCGGCTCTCCCTTCCCGCTACCAGCAGGTGCCCCAGCAGCCTCACCCTGGTTTCACTGGCGGGCTGTCCAAACCAGCTCTTCAGGCTGGGCCGCACCCAAGCCAAGGGCACCCGTATTATGACTACCAGCAGCCACTGGCCCAGATGCCAGTGCAGGGAGGACAGTCACTGCAGGCCCCCCAGATGCTGTCCCAGCACATGCAGCAGCTGCAGCAGCACCAGTATTACCCGCAGCAGCAACAGCAGCAAGCCGGGCAGCCGCGGATGTCAGTGCAAGAAATGCAGCCGCAGCAGCAGCAGCAGATTTGCCCAGCGCAGCCCCAGCAGCTGCAGCAGCGGCAGGGTTCGATGCAGATACCTCAGTATTACCAGTCCTCACCCATGATGCAGCATTTGCCAGAGTCGCGGCAGCCACAGATGCACCTGCAGCCCCCTTCTTATCACAGGGACCCCCACCAGTACACCCCGGAGCAGGCGCACGCTGTCCAGCTGATTCAGCTGGGCTCCGTTCCCCAGTACTACTACCAGGAGCCCCAGCAGCCCTACGGCCACCCCATGTACCAGCAGAGCCACCTGCCCCAGCACCAGCAGCCTGAGGACGCTCAGCCCAAGACTTATCCAAGCGACAGGCAGGCCCAGGCCATGCTGAGCTCCCATGGGGACCTGGGGCCTCCAGATACAGGAATGGGTGACCCGGCAAGCTCGGACCTGAACCGGGTCAGCAGTGCGCTCCCCCACCGGCCGCTCCTGTCCCCCAGTGGCATCCACCTCAACAACATGGGGCCTCAGCACCAGCAGCCGTCTCCCAGTGCCGTGTGGCCCCAGGTATTCTCACAGTGGCTGTTTCTCCTGGTGTCTCAGTGTGCCCGTGGGCCAGCCAGAGCTGCATCTATGCAGTGCCCAGTCTGCTCTCCAAACCCCTCCGACACTTCTGTTCTTTATTTATTCCACAAACGTTAACCAGACGCTGTGGAATACAAAAGCAATTTTGACTCAGTCCTTTGCCCATAGAGCTTACAATCTCACTAAGGAGATGGCCAATACACCGTATCAGGTCCTGAATGATGCATGTAACGGTCAAGGCCTGATCAGGTGCCCAGGGACCACCACCGTGTCTGGTGCCCCTTAAGTCTGTATCCTTAGGGAATTTCCTATGAAATCGTTCCCCTTTTGGGAGGGAGACCATATTATGATAGCATCTCTCAAAGTCTAATGCCCAGAATAGGAGTTCCGTAGAATGTTGAATGGATATTGCTGGGAGGAGGGGAATGGGTTCTCTGGATAAACAAATTTGGGGTTTCTTAAAGTGAAACAGGCTGCAGTGCTGCTGGGCTTCTCAGAGCCTTTAATATGCTCATGTGCACTGCAGATCTCCCCAAGGGGGTACCTTGTGTAGTTGCAGAGGTGAAAACCTTAGCTGCCCACAGGATCCAGGCAGGTAAAGTCAGTAAGCAAAACGGCCTGGTATGAGATGATAAGGACTGTGTGGACTAGAGAGCAGACATCCCATCTAATGACATGCTTAGGATTTTTTAAAACAGTCCAGCCAAGCAAACCATGTCTGCAGGCCAGATTCAGCCTGAGGGTGATGGCTATTAACCCTTGATTATTTCCAAACTGTATTTGATCACAAAACTGCCTACTGTGTCCTGGGCACCGTTCAGGCCTTGGCGTGTCCCAAGTGCTACACTCAAGTGACAACAAGGTCGGGGGAGGAGGGCACCTTGAATAGGACTGGGGTAGATGGAGAGAGGGCTCCGATGAAGGTTGAAGACCAGGCATAAAGCCCCCTTGACCCTGTTTTGTTTAAGACTCAGGCCTGTAGTAACTGAGAGACTTTGTGAATATAAGAATAAGATGACATGGCCAAAGCTGAGGTCTCCCAGCGTGAGGCTGTGTCGTCCAGCCCTCCATTCGGGAATGGAGCCTGTCTGTGTACAGAGTAGGTGGACAGGGAGAACAGGAAGGAAGGAGGTGGGGGATTGAGTCCCGGTGGGCTTGTGGCTGGTGGGGCTCCATGAGGGGGCGTGGCCCCAAGCCAGGGAACATCAAGGGAAAGAAGTCTGGAAGCCTCAGGTGTGGAAGGGCAAAGGCGTGCGTATCTGTGAGCCCGGTCAGCGTGAGGCAGAGAGCGGAAAGAATCCTAGAAGTGTGCAGGCCCTGGGGTTCCCGCCGCTCAAGGACTCCTCCCATCAGAAACACATTTGTTTTTTTTCTTCTTTCTTCTGGTGTCCTGCATGGCTCAAAATAGATGCACCTACCTGACGGCAGAGCCCAGCCAGGGTCCCCTGACTCAAGGTAGGATGGATGCATGGAGGCTTGTTGGCATTTTGGGAGACTGGAAGGTTTCCCTGAACTGTCTCATGATTCATTTCCAAATTCAAAGTCAATTCCTCAAAGAAATTTATAATAATAATAGCAGCTATTGTTCTTGAGTGCTTATTATTACTCTATATCATATGTAATAAAAGTAGCTCCATGAGGGTTGGTGTGATTACCATGTGCCTAGCACATAGTAAGCACTCAACCACTGTTAACTATTATTATCATTATTATTTTACAAATGAGAAAACTGAGGCTCAGAGAGCTTAAGGTTGCACATCAAGAAAGTAGGGATGCTGGGATGGACTCCAAAGCCCATGTTCTGCCCTCTGTCCATTCAGTGAGTATTTATTTAGTACCTACTGTGTGCTAGGCATGGAACTAAGCTATGAGGATGCCCCAGTGAATAGTACAGTCTTGTTTCCTCCCCTCATGGGTTTGGTAAATAAAGACTTAGCCAGAACCTTACAAACTAAGACATGCAACCTGGAGGCTGAACCAGAAGACTGAGACCCATATGTTTAAGGGAAGACTTCTGGAAGAGGAGAGCCGAAGCTGATTCTAGAAGGGTCATAAGCCAGAGGTGGGAAAAAACCCAGCACCTGAAGGCCTGGAATGAAGAAAGACGTTTGGTTCAACTCTTGCATGATCTTGAGCACACCATTTCCTACTCTTGAGCCTCAGTTTTCCATCTGCAAATTGGGCTTAGTTCTCTGAAGGGAATTGGGGTGATACAAGTAGGGCCATGGCCATGGGAGCTCTGGATGAATGAAATGGGTTCATTGTAGGGTGTGAGGTCTTGTGATGAGTCACTGTTTCCCTTCATCAATGTGTGTGTCCTCTCCACTTGGTCCTACCCTTGAGCAGTGGCCAACCAAAAGGAGTGTTTGGAGAGCAGTTTGATGCCAAGAACAAGCTGACATGCTCCATCTGCCTGAAGGAGTTCAAGAGTCTGCCTGCCCTGAACGGCCACATGCGGTCCCACGGGGGGATGAGGGCCTCCCCCAGCCTCAAACAGGTGAGGAGGAGTCAGCCCCCGGTCCTTCCCAGGCCATGTGCTGCTTGCTTTGCTTTGCTGCCATCAGAGAGTGATGTGAGCCCCACTCGGGGAACCTGAGGAGGCATAGTCCTTCCCTAATGAAAGTACTCAAGCTTTGATGCTGGGAGCCAGCCAGGTCACACAGTCTCCGCTTCCACTGGCTTCATGAACAAGAGTCCAGAACTGAGGTGGTAGAAATCCTTTTAGGGGCTCCCAGCCTCTCCAGCTCCTGGAGAAGACAGCAAAGAAAACATGTTGATGCAAAATTGTTTTCAACTTCTGCTGCTGGAAGTACTCAAAACCAGGGTCCCTTGGGCCTTCCAGATCCATAGTCAATGGCCAGGGAAAGCTAGTGTGACCATCGGGCTCCCAGCCAGCATTTTCTGTTCACCAGGGCACTAGTGGTAGACTCTAGCGTCCGAAGACCTTTAAATGCCCTTAGGATTATCCAGGTAGGATACCCTTGTGGTGAACTACCCATGCAGTTTTAGAGTTAGATTAAAATTCAAAGAACTTTCTCAATTCTTTGAATGCTGTTAATCTTAATTTAAGTCTATGGAATTAACTCTGTTCACCAAAAACTTTGATGTGACCCAGGTCACTCCGTCTCCCGACCATGCCAGTTAAAACAGCTTTTCCTCCATTTGACAGATGAGTAAACTGAGGCCCATAGAATTAAAAGGCCCTGCACAAGAGCTTATGTGGTTTTTTTTTTTTTTTCGGTCTGATTCTAAGTCCGTGTCCTTTTCTTTAAAAGCAATGACAGCCACACAAAAATTTTTCTTCACTATTTGTTTTAATATACAAGTGATACACAGTCAAGATTTTTTAATGTAGAAAATCAAGTGCCTTGTCCATTGCCGACGGGCATCACTGGAGCCGAGGGACTTAGGCTGGCAGGAAGGAAACCACCCTGCAGCAGTTCTCTGTCACCCACGTGTGGTGTCCAGGAACGTTTCAGGAAGAGCAAAGTGCATCCCGCCATGAGGGCTGCTCTCAGCCCAGGATCAAAGCCTTTATTGTCTGTGTAGGAGGAAGGAGAGAAGGCCCCGGCGCCTCCGCCTCAGCCGCCACTGCCGCCTCCGCCTCCGCCGCCACCGCAGCTCCCACCCGAGGCGGAAAGCCTCACGCCTATGGTCATGCCCGTGTCTGTCCCTGTCAAGCTTCTCCCGCCCAAGCCCAGCTCTCAGGGCTTCGCCAACAGCGTCGCTGCCGCCCCCTCAGCCAGAGACAAGCCAGCCAGCTCGATGTCGGACGACGAGATGCCCGTGCTCGTGAGGATGACCCTCTCTCCCCCACACTCACCCCAAGGGGCTGCCCCCCACCTGCCTGCTGTGAGTTGCTGCTCTGCCCTGCCTGCCTGGGGTGGGGACATCCCTTTGCTTTCTTGGAGATAGGGACAGCTCTGCCAGGGCCACTGGCCTGAGCTCAGACGTGGCTTGGCCTCTCCAGGCTGAGCCCCCCGCAGCCACCTTGGGAATCCCATCCGTGTCCGCACTGCGTGCCACCTAGTAAACACCTGGCACTCTACCAGGCTAATGGCCTGGGTTAGATTCTGAGAGACCCGAAGATGTTCCTAGATTAAACAGAGGTGATAACTCAGCTGGTGATCACAGTTATTAAAATATGAAAGTACTGTCCCAGATAATATATAGCTACTGCCCAGGGTCCTGGCCCCTCCCCCAGGATCTCCAGACCCCCCCCAAATCCAGCAACCGAAGAGGCAACCCCTGGCACAGCAGGTCCTCCAGGCAGTAGCGCTGGCATCCATTCTGATGGTCAGTCAGCCTTACCATATGCTTAATATTTTCAGTATCACCCCTGTGTAAATAAACACCCTCAGAGGACCGGATTCATTAAGATTCCCAAAGTAATTCCCCTGAGACACCCACCCCCCAATCTCAAGAAAGCAAAGAGATTTGTGTTTCTTATTCACTGTTCTTCTCTTTCTCAAGTTCCAAGCGCGTCACCCAAGCAGCTTAGCTTGGCTCTGGGACAGAGATCTCTCTCACTCTCTCCTCTCTCTCTCTCTCTCTCTCTCTCTCTCTCTGTACCTCTCCCCCTCTCTCCCTCCCTCCCCCCCTCCCCTGGGGAGTCTGTAACCCATGTGATTGACTACATCAGATTTGTCCCCTCCCCACAGAGTAGTGTGCTGAGTCACATTTGTCCTCACAGAATAGGTAGCTGCTGGGATTCCAGGAGACACGAGTGGGGCTGGGCCAGAATAGGGATAAGGAGGATAATTAAGAGAACTAGAAAAATCCAGAAAGAGCCTTTTTGGTTTCCTATGTAATAGCAGGGCCCAGAAGAGGAAAGACAGATGGAGAACCTCTGGAGGTGAGGATTCTCATCAGCGGGCAGGTCTCGGGGGCCAGCAACAGGCAGAGAGATGAAACGACACAGCCAAGCCCCCTCTTTGCCCAGGGAAGTTCCTCATTTGGTGGGAGGGATGCTGTTTCTACCCTTTGGAAACTCTCAGCCTGAAGCTGGAGAAAGTAAGGTTCGTAGTCACACAGGGGTCAGAGCCCCAGGCAGCAGCCCCGCCCCAGTTCAAGACAGAGCAAGGCAGCAATGCCCTGCGTGTGGCTGGTGGGGGATATACCTGGGGAGCTAAGGTCATTAGGGACTGGGATGAGGCAAGGGAAGTTTGATGTGAGTTTGCTTAGAAGATCGTCACGAGGGGAGTTCCAAGTAGGGTTCTGGAGGCAGAGGTGAACTTGGTTTTGTGGGAAGGGTGGGAGAGATACTGTGAGGAGATAAGCCGAAATGGAAGCGTGTAGATAGGACTTGAGTAGGTGTGAGCAAGGTCCTGACACTTAGTATAAAGAAATCAAAATGTCCAAGTAGGAGCCCTGTGTTTTAATCCCCACTCTGCTCCTAGCCATCTGGGATGCAGCCAGCCGAGACCCTTCCCCTCTCAGAACTTCAGTTTCTCCCTGTTCTGGGTTTGGGGGGCGGGGGTGGTGTTGGCCTCCTCAGTGACCGTCACCTCTCTGGGGAGCTTTTAAAACCTCTCAGCGCTTGGCCCTGTCTCCAGCTTGGCTGGAACTCTGTAAATGCTTCCTCCCACCTGACATCCAGGTCTGATATTCCGTGGGCCTTCCCTGGCCCAGGGTCTCAGAGCCTTGCCTGGAGGATTGGAAAGTCCCAGAATAGAGCTGTTGTAACAGAACCCAGAGGCTCAAGTAGAGAGAGCCCGAGAGGGACCTTTGGCCCTGTGGTCAGAGGTCTGGCTTCCAGTGCAGGGTTGAAGTCACTTGGGATCCTCAGGTGACCCCATCCGTTACCCAGGAACCAGGTGTGAAGTGTCAGGATGGCTCCCCAAGTTGGGGGCACGTGCACCTTCTTCCCAGTCCTCAGCCCCCTCTCTCCACCTCAGCCTCAGGTGGTGAGGAGCCCCCCTGGTGGGGAAAGGAAGCAGGTTGGGGCTCTCTGACCTAAGGAGAGCCCCCTGGGGGCCTGGGGGTCCCCGCTGCCCCTTCCCCTTTCCTCACCTTTCTGCTTCCCTAGACTCCCCTCCTGGGGGCTGGGACGGCACCCCAGAAGACGATGAAGCTGAGAGAGACAGGAGGGGCAGCCTGAAGTGCCGAAGGCAGCAGAAGGGGCCCTGAGGGAGAGGAGTCCAGAACTGAGGGGTGACTGGGGCAGGTCACATGGCCTGGAGGAGGCTGGTCACATGACCATGGCCAACCCTTCCCATCACCCCCTGCTGCCTCCTACTCAGGCGCCACCCTGGGCACAGGGATTGCCAGGGACCACAGCTGTGACGAGCACTGGCCTGCAGGGCCTGGGAGGGCACCACAGACTGCCCAGAACTTTTCTGCAGGTATCCTCACAGCCCCTCCCAACCGCACAGCTGCCTCTCCAGCCACACCCAGCTCTCGGTTTTTCTGGGCTGATGCTGGCACACAACCAAGTCTGTTTGTGTTTGGCTTTGGCATGCCCTGCTTATCTCTTTCCGTGCGTGTGTTTACTTATTAGTATATCTGTATCCATGTGGCAGATCTTCCTTCCAGAAGATGCTTGGTTCTGCTGGAATAAAATAAACTAACACTGCTGACAGGAAACCAACCTACGAGGAGGGTTTGCCACAGATAAGCCACCAGTGCTGGGAGCAGTAATGAGGGGTGGTGAGGGGGGGAGGCTCACCAGATCCACTTCTAGGAGAGCACATGAGACGGGCCTCAAAGATCCGGGATGGCTCTCCTCAACCCTAAGGTTACCTTGAAGAAGACCCCAGTGTGGGTCACTGGCCCTGGGAGCCTTGGCCAAGGCCTGACCCCCTCTTCCTGCCCCACAGCCTCTGCCCAGCTTCCCTGAATAGATTCTTCTGTCGCCGCCTCAGAACATGTGTTATCTGTCCCCGATGTCTGTCCCCGGGGAGCAGTGGGGAATTAAAGGGCCCACTCAGCTGGATTCCACTCACCAGATGGGAATGCAGTGATAAGCAATAAAGAATGTGAATATATTCTTTCTTGCCCACCCACTATTCCTGCCACCCCCATCCCTCTCCAGACATGAGGGATTTCCTCCAAAACCAAAGTTTTCTCCCTAATCAAGCCACCGGATCTCGCCTTGTCTGAAGTGGATGTGGCCGTTTCTGAAGGCGGAGGATGCTGGGGTCAGACGAGTGGAAGGGAGGAGGGGTCCCCGTTAGGACATCAGTCCCCCTTCCCTCAACCTGTGGAAAGGGCCTGTGGGAAAAGCCCGAGTATTTGAATCGGATCATTCTTCCCGTTGTAGGAAATTCCCAAGAAGCATCAGCCAGCCTTGGCCAAAGCTGAGGAAGCCCTCAAGACCGCGCCGGAGAAGAAAAAGTTCCGGCACCGGCCCGAGCCGCTCTTCATCCCGCCTCCGCCCTCCTACACCCCCAACCTCGCCGCCTCGCACTCTGGCGCCACCCTGTACCAGAGCCAGCTGCGCTCCCCGCGCGTCCTGGGCGACCACCTGCTCCTCGACCCCGCCCACGAGCTGCCCCCCTACACGCCCCCGCCCATGCTCAGCCCGGCGCGCCAGGGTTCGGGGCTCTTCAGCAACGTGCTCATCTCGGGCCACGGCGGCGGCGCGCATCCGCAGCTGCCCCTCACGCCCCTCACGCCTACGCCTCGCGTGCTGCTCTGCCGCCCCAGTGAGTCGCCCCTGTCCCCGCCTCCGCTCCCTCAGGGGCGGCACCCCGACTGTGCTGGGTGCTGCCCCAGGAGGCCTCGCGTTCTGTCGTCTCGTTTTCCACAGACCTTGGCGGTGGCTCGATTCTGTGTACCAGGCAGTGTGCTAGGTGCTAGAAATAATTAGAACACGTCTTCTCAGGGGAAACACAGTCTAGCCGCGGAGACTAACGCGTAGAGCGATAATCAGAATTTCTTTGGGATAAGGAAAAACAGTTGAAGTGTGCTGTGGATAACCGTGTAAGACACCCAAAATAAATGTACTAAGTAGATGTACAAATGGGATTATATTGCAAGACCACACCTCATATTTTAGCATGCTGTGTAAAGATCAAGCAGGAGGGCTTCCCTGGTGGGGCAGGGCTTAAGAATCCGCCTGCCAGTGAAGGGGACACGGGTTCGAGCCGAGGTCCGGGAAGATCCCACATACCGCGGAGTGCCTAAGCCCATGCGCTGCAACTACTGAGCCTGCGAACCACAGTTGCTGAGCCCGTGTGCCACAACTACTGAAGCCCATGGGCCTAGAGCCCGTGCTCCGCAACAAGAGAAGCCACCGCCTGCGCACTTCATCGAAGAATGGCCCCCACTCACCGCATCTAGAGAAAGCCCATGCACCACAGGGACGATCCAATGCAGCTAAAAATAAAAATAAATAAAAAATAAGTTTATTTAAAAAAAAAAAAAGATCAAGCAGGAGAGGCCTGTAGCCAGGATCTCTTTCTGGAGCAAGAATAGTTTCATAGAAATAAGACAAATTAACAGGGGAATTCCCTAGCGGCCCAGCGCTTAGGACTCCACACTTTCACTGCAGAGGGCCTGGGTTCAATCCCTGGTCGAGGAACTAGGCTCCCACAGGCCCCACGCACACAGCCAAAAATTATTTTTAAATAATTTTTAAAATAAATAAATAAAAAGCTTAGCAGACCAGAGTGGGGCAGCTGGCCACTCCTTACCCTGTGTGAGAAGTGGGGAAACGCTAAGCCACGTTGCTCCACATTCCATCCAACTCCTCGGAGACTGCTGGGGTAACTCTGGCATGGGTTGGGTAGGAGAGGGGCCCTGTCATGACTGTTTAGGTAACTGCTCATTTAGTTTCTTCAGTACCCTTCCCTGTTGACCAGTGACCCCTGGTTTTTGTGCTTCAGACAGCATCGATGGCAGCAACGTGACAGTCACCCCAGGTCCTGGAGAGCAGACCGTTGATGTCGAACCGTAAGGAAAAGCCAATTATTCTTTAGAACAGATGCCTCAGCCTAGAAAAGGGATGGGGAGCTTTGAGAAGGGTAGCTAGTGCTTCTGGGATCAGAGTGGCCACTGGGCAAGAAGTTGTAGAAAATGTAGGATCGTGGTATTTCTCAAGTACTGTTGTTTCCCTGTAACTGCCAGTATTTCAAGGCCTTTTCTAAAGACTAAACACATTAAAAGCAAGGAGCCTTGTGTTTGGAGAACCAGGCGTCCCCATCTGTGGCTCCGTGAGCCAGTTTGGTTGGGGCCACATGCCTTCACATCCCCAGTGACATTGAGACATCTGTCTCAGGGTGCCTAGCTCTCCACGAGGCTCCATCCAAATGCCCTTGATCCCCCAGCCCCTCCCTAAGATTCTTAGCTGATCCTCCAAGTGGCCTTGTTGAGTAGTTGAGTTGGGGGGTATAATGGAAGAGAAAGCTGGTTATTTTCATGGATAAGCACAGAAGAGGCCAGATGGTAGAGTGGTGAGTAGATTGAGTCAGGAATCAGGAAACCTGGTTCCAGCACCGTTTTGTTATTTGATCTTGATCAAGTTAACCTTTCTAAGCTTTAGTTAACTCATCTATTGAGTAGGAATAATTATCACTGCCTTGCTTACATCACAGGTCTTGGTGAGGTTCAGATGGGATCATTTATGTGAAAGTGGTCTGAAAGGGCTAAAAAATGCAATAAGCACTTTGTATTTGTCCCATTGGGTTAAGTGGTACCCTTGGCCATGCTCTGGGCAGCTGTTCCCTTGGAATTAGGACCCTCCCTCTCCCAGTTATAGGGAGCTTTGAAGCCCCAGGCAGGCTTCTCCCTTGCTCCCCACAGCATCTCTCCCCAGTCTTAAAGCTGTTCCTTATCCCAGTGGAAAGGCCATGCCTGGAATCTTCAGATCACACTGTGAGGAAATGCCCCTGCATTCTTCTTGCAGAAGGAACTGGTTTCCTTCTTTTTCAAGTCCCTGACAGTCGCCCTTGGTCTCAAATTGAAGACCACACTGTTATTTTTCTTCTTGTGATTAAAGACGCATCAACATTGGCTTGAGATTCCAAGCGGAGATCCCAGAACTCCAGGATGTCTCTGCCCTGGCCCAGGACACACACAAGGCCACACTGGTATGGAAGCCCTGGCCAGAGCTGGAAAACCACGACTTCCAGCAAAGAGGTATTGGCAGCATGGGAAGAACTGGGCAGGAAGGGCTGGATCCTCTCCCGGGGGCCTCTGGCTCCAGGATCGGTTTGTCTTTCCGGTGACCCTGAGCTCTTTCTGATGCAGTGGCCTCTCTTTGTTCCCAACAGTGGAGAATCTCCTGAATCTGTGCTGTTCAAGTGCGTTGCCAGGTGGAGGGACCAATTCTGAATTTGCTTTGCACTCTCTCTTCGAGGCCAAAGGTGATGTGATGGTAAGGAACTGTGAAAAGGAGGCTTCCCAGTTCATATGCTTCATGTCAGAATTCTGAAAAGTATTTTACCAAGGTTCTGTGTTGTTTCATGCCCCCCACAACCAACTCTTAAGATGATGACCAGTTGGTGTGCCTCCCATGTTCCTTATCTCAATGAGTAGGCCAGGATTTGAAAGCCTGCAGAAAACCTCCAGTTGGATTTCTGTTTACACAACTGTTCCTAAGTAATAATGATGGCAACATCTGTTTTGGGAAACTAGAATTTCTTTTCAGCAGTCTTGTAATTCACATCGGGGAACAGGTCTGCAGTGATGGAAGTAGAAGGCCTTCCTGAAGCAAGGCTTGGCCTAAAATAGCCTGTCATACTCTGCTCGTCATTCCTCCCTACCTGGAAATCAGCCAGAGTTTGATGTTCATAGAACCGTTTGCTCCCCTAACCAAAGTGAAATGTTCGCTGTGTGTGCACCATCTGGTGTCATTCTTCCACTTTTGGCACAGTTCTCTGGCATCCCCAAACCAGAACTTTGGTGCCCTTTTCCCAGAATCAGAGCTGACCATTTGCCTGCTCAACCTGGACCCCTGGCTGGAGCACTTCGTCACTAGCCTCAGCTTCCCCTTTAGTAAATACATGATTCTTATACCAGAGCTAACCTCCTGCTTTTTTGATTTTATGAAAATGTGAAAGTAAACAAATGTCCCAGTACTACCTTCTCATGAGATTACTGATACCCTTCAAGGGTTCTCTAGAATGTTGGAGAACTCTCCTTGACCTTTTAAGATCAGTGCCGCAGAGCCGTGCTTCTCAAACTGTTAACGTGCACGCACATCACCTAGGGAGTCTTGTTAAAATGCAGGCTCTTATTCAGCAATTCTGGAGGTGGGGCCCAAGGTGCTGTATTTCTAACCTGCTCCCAGGGGATACCCGTGCTGCTGGTCCATGGACGACACTTGGAGTAGCAAGATTTGAGATCCCCCAAACCATCCACAGCTCAACTCCACCTGCACCACTTTTTTATCAAAGTCAGTGAGGCTGAGGGACGTAGATTTGAAAGGGTTATTTAGCAAGGCTCCCTGGAAGGACAGTGTGTAGTACAGTTATTACTAATATAGCTGTTGATGTTCAGTTGTAATGAAACACGTGATTTTTCTGCAAAAACAGTTCCAAATCACCCACTCATTTCCTTAGAGACTCAACCTCCAAACAGAGGAGGCTCCACCATGTCTCTGAAGCTGGGGCCCTCACCAAGGAAGGAGTGGGGTTTTGGCTGCCACCTGTGTTTTTGTGACAAGACCAGCTGGCTGCAGGCATGGGCGGAGGAGGTATTAGGATGATGAGTCCTGTTGGGTGCTGACCAGAAGGAAGACCCCAAATCGGGGAGTCTCCTCTGTTTTTCCTTCCAGCCCCCCAACCCCGGGCCCTGCAATGCTGGCCCGTTTTCCCCATTAGGCAGATGGTCTTCTGAGGACACAAGCCCCGTGACTGACTCTCGCCTTTTCTCTCCCATGGGTCTGCAGGCTGCTCTGGAAATGCTGCTGCTGCGGAAGCCAGTCAGGTTAAAATGTCACCCTTTAGCAAATTACCACTATGCCGGTAGGTTGCCCGGAGCCCTGTGCCCCCTTGCTTCCTGAGAGCGGGCTGTCTGCGTGTTGGTTGTGTCCCCTTTCAATAACAGATAGCACCCATTCTGTCCTGAGCGCCGCTTGTGCTCTCAAGGCCTCGGGGGCGTAGGTGGTGGGGCAGCTGTGTCTGCTGGCTGGTCGCTGTTGGGCATTTGTCTGTCTGGGCCTCCTGCCCCTCATGGGTGTGCCAAGAGCTGGGCGACAGGGGACAAGGCCCGCACGTGCAGCAGTGAGATCGGTGCACCCGGAGGAAGAGCCACAGAGGGTAGACCACAGAGGCAACAGCACACAGCGGCCCCTGGGCTTTGGGATCAGTAGACGTGGATTCACGTCTTGCCTGCACCCCGTGGCCTTCTGCAGCCTTGGTTTCCTCACCTGTAAAGTGGGGCTCATACTCCATCCCTTGCAGGATTTTGTGAAGATTTGAGAGAGTATATGGAGCCCAATGCCTGGCACAGTCTAGTAGCTTTTATTATTCATTGGTTGAACAATTGATGAGCACTTCCTATGTACAGGAAACTGTGCTGAGCACTAAGAGGAGGAAGTGACAGATGTAGACAGATGTAGACAGAGTCCTGTCCTGTGCAGTTTGGAGTCTGCGGGGTAGGCAGTTATTAAATGACAGATCACTAATGGCAGGAGAAAGACGTGTACATGCACATGTATACGTGTGCATGCACAGATACATGTACACGTACACACACACGTACATATACATACGAGTCTCTCTTAGGAGGGGGTGGATTAACGATGGCACCACCAGTACGAGGGAAAGAGGACACCCCTTGGAGAGTTGAATGTAGTGAGAATTGTGCAGAGAGAGTGAAACAGGCTGGGGAACCTGCGGTGACAATGAAGTTGGAGTCAACATTTGTATTTCCGTTAACTAGTAGCCCTGTCCATTCTGGGGGTCTCCACGAACCTGCCTGGGTTCTCTATTTCAGAGAGGGCTGTATCCTCCAATGCCCCTTGGTTGTTAATCATTTGAAGGTGTCTCTGGTGCCTGGTGGGACCGTGCGTAGATGGGTGCTAAGTACCTCAGTGGCCTTGGGGACCCAGTAAATACCTTTTCCAGTCCTCGGTCCAGGCGGCCAGATGTGGCCTCAGGTGAGGGCTGTTCTGCAGATTCCAGCATGTTCTCGGGGGGGCTCCCTGTGACCCCACCACCGTCTGCCTTGCAGAATGGGCTCCTCTCCCGAGTTGGCCCTCTTGCCTGTCATCACAGGGTGGAAAGGCCTCAGAAGCCACTCACCTGAGCATAGCAAGCCCGGGATGCCTGCCTGTGGATCGCTCCCGGCACACAGGCTGCTGCTGGCACTAGGCAAGCACAGAATGGACACATTGGATAAGAAATCCATCACGTAACCCCATGGCCTCAAGGAGCCAGTTTCTTAATATTGTCTCCATCGTTTCCTGCTTGGTGTCTGCCCCAAGTGTGGATAGAAGATGTGGGAGTTCTCTCTAATCTGCCATGGAAACAATTCAATCCTCTTAATTCCCAGCGTCATCTGCTGCCCATTAAACCCTGACGGGCCGTCCAGCCTCCTGGAGCCTGGGTCAGGCTTCTCTGCTTAGCAGGGAGACTTCCCTAGCATCTTCTGTGGCTGCTCTCGGCCCCTGGGGTGACTGGGGTGGCCAGCGCCTCTGGGCTGCTCATCTCCAGCTGTGAGCAGCCTCGTCTGGGCCCCAAATCCCCTCCAGTTCTTCCCAGCATGCCAAGCAGGTATTGTGATCTTTTTAGTGTGTGTCATGACATAAAAGAGATGGGAAAGCTATGGGCTAGAAACCACCTCCACCCCAAACAACACCAAACAACAACCTTAAAATAGTACTAAAAGCTTTGAAACTAGAAGGCCCTAAACTCTGCTAAAATTCAGTGATCTTCGGGGGTTGGGGGTTCCTGGGAAATCCTTTGCCCCTCCCTTGCACCCTTTCCCTATAAGCAGACCAGGAAGCACTCTTGTTGCTTCCAGAATCCTTTTGACCCTTGGAGACAAGAGAGGTGGAGCTGTCCGGTGTGAAGGGTTGGTGTCCCATTAGCTGTGTGTCCCCAAGAAAAGGGTGCTCGCCTAGGTCTGCCAGTAATCTCTCTTCTCCAGGAAGTGATCACAGACTGGGCCCCAGAGAATCTTCTAGAATTATGAGCACAAAGGACAAAGGTCACAGATCTCTGAAGTCTGGCCTGACTCCATCCCCTTGGCGGTTCCCTTCCAGACCACAGAGGAGGCCACAGAGTCTACGCCCGTCACATGCCCCAGCTAACAGCCGCGACCGCCTTCCGCCCTTTTAACCACCCCACCCTCTGACTGGTTCCGGGTGTCGGTGAATCCCACCCCCATGGCCCCGTCCGGCCTTGGCCTTCGTGCCAAGCCCTGTTGGGTTGCTCTCCAGCAGGACCGTCAGCTCAGGTCCAGCCTCACTGGGACACTGTCTTCTGAAATCTCCTTTGCTTCCAGCTCTGCGGCTGTGGCCAGTGTCACTCCTGCCCGACTCCAGCCCTGGAATCGCACCCCAGGCTTCCAGTTGTCTAGAGAGAGGTCAGACCTCCCCGGCCTGTGCCCTGGAGGGAAGGTGGCAAGATTGGTTTCAGGGGTGCAGACTGTGAACTGGGGGGAGACAGAGACAGGAGCCTGTGAAAATCACTTCCCTCCTGACCTGCCCTTCCACCCCATCCCATCCCATCCCAAGCAGTTCAGTGAGAAAAGGAAAGAGCGACCAGTGCTGGGGCCCAGGAGAGACATCAGTGTAGGTGGGCAGCTTGCCCAGATCCGGGGGCAGCTTGGCAAGCCCGGAAGAGCCCTGTTAAGATCCTCAGAGGAAGGGGGCTGTCACAGTGGCCCCCAGGCTCTCTAATTCACACCAAGGTGCCCGGTCCAGACCTCTCTCCGCACCCTCCGCCCGTAAGTGGCAGTGGTTGTTTGCAGTGGCTCCCAGTCAGCGGTTGGGTTGGGTGGGGAAGGCTTGAGTGTGGGTCTGTCAGGGTGACAAGGATGCCTGGTTGTGATTAGAGAGCTTCCGGCGTCTTTGGTTTTTCCATTGAGCCGGTCGTTCCTGCAGATGGGCACGGAGTGAAGGGGTGTCAGACCTGGCCCTGGGAGTCTTGGCAAGGGTTCAGCGGAGGCTACTGTGGGCCCCCACCACAGCCCTGACCTGACTCCGGAGATGGGAGAGACCTGGAGGGAATATACCCGTTCAGTCGGGGGGGAGGCCTGGTCTCTGTCTTGGAAGCTGCCCCCAGTTTGGTGAAGAGACAGAATTACGTTCTCCAGCGAATACTTTGTAAGAAGCGCAGCTGTGAAGTCATCTCACAGGCATTCTTAGCCCATGTCGCTAGCTGGAGAGTGATCCCCTGAAGGGCAGGAATGGAGTTAATAATCACTCTGCTGCTTTGCCTGACGTGGCACTTGTGGAAAAGAGGCTAGTGGACAACCTCAGGTTCTGGATTCAGATCAAGGCTTCCCTGCCTTTGGCCTCCAGAGGGAACTTTGGTATTACCCGGTTCACCTGCACCCCTAAAAAAATTACTCAGTCTTCACCCATCATGGAAAACCTTTCACGGAAATGAAGATCTGGTGTAAAAACAGGTCCTCCTTTTTCTACAATGAACGTGTCTTTCTTATGTAACTGCTATAACAGCAGCATCAAGAACAGTTTTTAAAAGCTTGAAAGGAAGACAGAAAGGCCCTCTTTAAAACATACTGTGCCCAAACTTTCTCTCACCCCTCCATGTCGCTTTTTAATTGCCTGCATTCGCTATAGATTGCCCCAAATTTTCGCCACCATCCCAGAGCCTGTTTCCCAGCAACCGAAGCTCAGAACGTTTTTCCTCTGGATACTGTTCCAGCACCAGTTTCCTCCAGTTAATTAGGCTCTTTGTAATTAGCCTTAATCGTCTTGTTAGGGACCCCTGCTGATAATAGCCCGCTAGCCAGGAATCCCCAGGGAGAATGGATGGGGGCGGGGTGAGGGTGTGTCATCAGCCCGTCAGCCCCAGGGACATGCTGAGTGGACAGCAGGGATCTCAAAGGGGGAGGGCAGGTGAGGAGTTGGGGCAGCCCCCTGCCTCGGTTTTGCATTTTATCCTGGACTTTGTTCAAGAAATAGAATCCAAGAAGGGCTGGCTTAGAAAACCTTGTCCAAGAATGAGGGAAATGCTCCTGCCAGACAGACCCCAGGAGGAGAGACGCTGAGCCTTGTCGGGATTACAGGAGGATTTCGGGGCAGGGAGGAGAAAGCTGCAAGTTACAGGCAGCCCAGAGTAAGGCTGTGGGTCAGCACACACACGACAGGAAACGCTTCAGGGACCGGCAGGCTTCGTGAGTGCCCACAGATGTCAGCAGGGGACAGCGTATGTCCCACAGCTGCAGGCTGATTTGGAATCTGCCGTCCGAGTGGCCAGATCTAAAACATTCTCTGTGCACATAATTCGGACTAAACGCTGCCAGTCACAGCATGACTGTCAGGATCCCCGAGTCACAAAAGAGGAAACTGAGACTCAGAGAAGTAAACTTGCAGGGGCCCCAGAAGGAGTGAGTGGCAGAACCAGGTTCGCAGCCTGTGGTCTCCTGCTTAGAGTCACCCCTTTTATCACAGCACAGTGACTTTACTATTTGGGGCAAGTACATCCAGATATTATGTCTATATACCCGGCTTCAGCCTGGGAATTCAGCCCCAGAGCCCAGGAGTGGATTCTCAGTCCTGTGGGCAATCCCATGATCAGGGTGCAGTGAAGATGGAGCATGAGAACCCATGGGCTTGTCTGGCCCTGCCTCTGCCTCTCAGTTTGTGGACACCCTTTTTGGACAGACACGCACGCACAGCACAGTCGTGTGTGCTAAAGCGCAGACCCTAGGACTGCATAGGGGAGCCATCTCTCACCGTCTGAGCACCTCAGGTGGGGGGCAGCACAGAGAGGAAATTGCGAGGGTGCAGCCCACTTCCAATCCAGGACTGGTGGTGTCGAGTGGACACTCTGGGATTGGGAAGACTGAAGACCCCATCACAGCAGCAGCCCTAAAAACCACCAAAGAGTTGATGGGGAGAAGGCCTCCTTCCCCCGTGAGGCTTGAGGATACCCCATAACTTCACCTTCTGGAGGTCACTTCACCTTCTGTGGGGTTACAGCTGGAAGGCCATCTGGGGACATGTAGGGACATACCTCTCACGAGTAAACAGACCTGGGGACTTAACACTGCGGTTTGGACAGTAATCAGATGACAAGCTTGACGTGGGGTGGAAGAAAGCGTGTCCACCATAGAGGCTGGGTGCTGGCTGAGAAGGCTGCGTGGCCCTGTGAGTGTCTCACGGGGGCTTCGAGCTGCACTCTGACTTGGGAAACGTAGGATCTGGCTGAGGGTGGAAAGGATTCTCATTCATCTAATTGGGGGTTTTCATCAACAAAATATTCCCTAACTTCCTATGTGAGGTGCAACCCAGAGCTGCACAGACTGGACCTGCATCAGGGCAGCACAGCAACCTCCCTATATGCTTGTCCAGGGGCTCAGCTAGTGTGACATGTCTCCATCATGGTCCTCTTACACCATTGCCTCTCTGATCTCTCTTTGCTGTTTTAATGGATACCTAAAAGGAGCCATGACTCTTTGGTCTTTCAGTTGTTGGTTCAGCCTTTCTGTGTTGCTCTTTCTGTCTCTGCCTCTGGGCAATGGGAGCAAATGGGAGCTGGGACCCGAAGCCCTTGAGTGTTGGACAGAAGTTGAGGAATGGTGATGCAAGTGCTCCAGAGCTCCAAACCCCACCGACATGCTCTGCTCACATCCACTCTAGCAAAGCCTCTCCAAGCCTCTGGCCCCACTTCTCCCTGTTACGACGGTTTGCGCAACCAGAGATGTCCTGGTCTCCAGAACCCGTGGAAGAGGCTTCCTTCTTCCGAGGGTTAATCAGAAAGCTGCCTTCCTTCTAGAAGTAAAGAGAGAAACTCACAAACCAAAGAAATCAGGTGGTGGCCCTACTTTTATAGAGGCCTGAAGCAGCCCAGCTGTGGAGAGCATATCCTGCATCTGGAGCCAGAGCTCTTGGCTTAAGGACCCAACAGGGAGTCACACAGAGAAGGTGTTTATTTCAGAAATCTGAGCTGACATCACTGAGTCAAATATTTTCTCAAGGACCCAAGACTGTCTGCCTCCTGCCTGCCTGCCAGGCGTGGTTTCACTCGTTTGAATGATTTGGGCTCAACCTTTTGAGGGAAGAAGCAATTCAGGTTTTCTTACTTTAGCCCCTCTGTCAAGCATAGCAAAATGGAAATCTTGGGCTTGTTCTGCTTGGAAGGAAAAATGCTATAGTTTGGGGGATTACAGCTCTGAAAAGTAGAGGCTTATCAAAAGCCCAGGCATGTACCATCCAAAGAATCAGAGATACAGGGAATTCAAAAAATTAGAATGAGGCTGAGTTTCTGCAAACCAGCCACAGTGATTGAGCCCCCAGAAGTAGGACTTGCCTTGGAAATAGGTCAGTACCATTCTCTGTAAACATCTGCATATCCTGCTTTGACATGAATGTCAAGTTCAGCCAGCAAAGCAAGATGCACCAGCCCGGCACTGCAGGGCCTCTTCTTCATTGGTCTGCAGATTTGTCAGGAACCGGTCCCTCTCACCTCCCAGCCTCATCTGCTTTCCCTCTGCTAGAACCCTGTAGTTGAGCCGTACTGGATTACTGCTTATTTCTTGAACACCTCCATTTTCCTCATCTGTAAAATGGGTAGCAGTAATACCAATCTTACAGATTGTCTGTCGAACCAAATGACTACTATCTGTGAAGTACTTTAGAGCCTGGCACATAGTAAGCACTTATAAGTATTAGGTTTTTTTCCCCTTGTGTCTTGCATGTAGTAAACACCTAATAAGTATCTGCCGAATGGATGAATGAATGAATGACGTGTCCTCTCACTGCTTGCTTCTGACTTCGCACGTGCCACTTTCTCTCCCCAGAATTCCCTTCCATCTCCTTCTTGCCTGACTTGCTTCTGTGTCTTTTTAAACCCCGCTCAAGTGTTCTCTCCACCTGGAAGCCTTCCCGGCTGCCCTAACCTGAGTGTGGGGTCCCTCCTTTGTGCCCTATCGGCACCCGACCCCTCCCTTCATCCTCGCAATCATCACCTTGAATGCGGGGCCTCCTGGTTTTCTCCCCACTAGATTGTGAACATCTTGAGGGTGAAGACTGCTGAATCCAGCACATGTGAGGATCGCTTGCTACGTGAATGCTTGCCCTCATCCTAATTACATAAAAACTGTAGCTAAACTCCATTAAGCATTCATGGTTTTCCAGTTACTAAGCTATAGACACTTTTTGGGCATTACCTTCTTTAACCTTCACAGAAATCTTAAGAGGTGGAGACAATCAGAATTATTCCCGTTTGTAGGTAATAAAACTGAGTCTTAGGCTCAATAACTTGCCAAGGTCAAGGCCACGGCTGAGATCTGAACCCAGGTGTCAGGGCTCCTAACCATTACACTGCACTTCCTGTTCAGAAAGGAGTGTGATATGTATTCTATCACATGCTGAGCAGTTGTAGTTTGTAACTTAACTAAGTGAACCAGCAACCACAAGTGAGGAGAACTGAGCTGTTTTTTAATGAAATGTGTGTTTTGTTGTAGGTTCGGACAAGTGGACCTCCCTAGAAAGAAAACTGTTTAATAAAGCACTAGCCACTTACAACAAAGACTTTATTTTTGTACAGAAGATGGTAAGTATTCTTACAGTGTTAATAAAAATAATATGTTACAGGGACTTCCCTGGCGGTCCAGTGGTTAAGACTCCGAGCTTCCACTGCAGGGGGCACAGGTTCAATCCCTGGTCAGGGAACTAAGATCCCGAAAGCTGTGTGGTGCAGCCACATAATAATAATAATAACAACAATAACATGTTACATATATAGCATTTCACAGCAAAGTAGAGCTCTTTAACAAAGATGAAATAGCGCTTTATCCAGCACATAGGCCCTAATTGGCTGAGAGATGGTTTAGGCCAAAAGTTACAGTGATTCAGAGTGTTTCAGCAAAATGATGAATGATGGAGCCATACTGAGTTATTAAGATGCTCAGGTCCACAGAGAACAGGGTCCCAGGTGACAGCTGCCACTGGCTCTGGGCTGGGCCTCAGTGTTGTCCCGGGTTCATGTCTCCTGTCCTTAATCCTGGGCCTTGACTGGATGAGAATCAGAATAGGTGGACTTTTTCTCGAACTTGCCTCTGTCTTCAGATCTGAATTCGCACCCGCCTTACTCTGCCCTGGAGGCCACTGGACCCTTTGCTGCCCTCTATCCCAGCAGCTCCCAGGCTCCCATCTCTCCAGGGTCACCTTCCCCCGGGACTGGTCTGTCCTCAGCCTCATTCCTTAAAGGCCCCGCCCCTTGTTGACTGATGATGGATTCATGTGTCGTGCTCGCCAGGCAATGCAGAATTTAAAACAAGGGTTCTCTGGGACTCTGTCCCCCCTCCCTGGGTGATTCTAATGTAGAAATTCATGATATCAGGTGGACGTGAAGGGGCCACCTTTGAGGAGACCAGACTTCTGAAGTTACTCTTTTCATTCTCACTATGCAGGTGGCCATGTTCCTGCCCCCAAGGGGACAGCCAGCCTTTTTATCTACCTCCAGAAAACCCACATTATTGAGCCCCACTTTGAGCTTAGAGCACTATGAACTAAACAAAGGAATGTTTTTTCTCTTTAAAACACATTTATCTTTGCCCCTTTGTGGGAGAACAGGGCAAGCCTTGTTTTCTACAAACACGAAGCTCTTGTCATCATAACTTTTGTCTTATATTCCTGTTCGATTACTAAGGAACATTTTTCATAAATAGATTTTGAATGTCAACAAGTTGGAGAGCCAAATACATTCAAGCATTTGAAAAAGCATTTGCTGCTTTATGGGTTAAAAAAGGGAACGAGCTCTCTATGGACGAATGTGAAAAAAATCTCCAAGCTCTCTTGCGAAAAAAGTCAAGATGCAAAGCAGTACATAGAGTGTGCTACCTTTTGTGAGGCAGAATGGTGTGGAGGAATATATTTTCCTGTTTGTTGGTATATGTGTAAAGAAATTCTGGAATGACACCCAAGATATGAATAAGAGGGGCCAGCTGTGTTGCAGGGGGTAGGGGGGGACCAGATGGATGGATGGATGGATGGAGAACGGGTGTGGGAAGGAGATTTTTCACCATGTATATGTTTTTATTCAACTGCATAAACCTAATACCTATTACAAACTTAAAATTGCACAAAAGCTTGCTGCTTTGCACCCTGCCCACTGCTGGAGCTGATCTTGAGGTGCCTTTCCCGGCAGGTGAAGTCCAAGACGGTGGCTCAGTGCGTGGAGTACTACTACACGTGGAAAAAAATCATGAGGCTGGGGAGGAAACACCGGACACGGCTCTCGGAAATCATCGATGATTGTGTGGTGAGTGAAGCTGCCCGGGTGCTGCTTATTTGGGCCCTGCTCCTGCCCCATGCCCAGGTCCCTAAGTGGCTGGCACTGGTGGGTGACAGGCCAGTTCCCAGGTGAGATTCAGGCCTTGATTTCCTGGGATGACTAGGCAGAGGGAAGGCAGTTTTGGGTTTGACCCGCAGCCCAGTGATCAGTTAAGGAGATGAGGGGCTGGCTTGCATTCCAGGGCAGGTAGGCACAGGGGGAGTTAAACCGTGGTGGTTCCAGCCTTGATGTGGGTGATTTATAAGACGCACCCCGACATTCTGGGATAGCATTTCCTGATCCTTCCACAGTCACAGATGTTCCTGACCAGAGAACTAACATGCCTTAGAAAGACCTAAGCGCACTAGGATTTTACACAGCTTCTGTGAAGCATGCCCAAGGAGCAACGTTGACCTCTAGATGGCGCCAGGAACTCTCAGTTATTGGGGAACTGGTTAGCAGTGTGTAAATTATTCTGATCCTCACATCACCATTTATCCTTGGTACTGATTTCCTTCATTAGCAGACAATCCAAAGTTGTCTGCGTATTAAGATGAAGAACCTACTAAAGACATCACTAGGGACTTCCCTGGTGGCACAGTGGTTAAGAATCCGCCTGCCAGTGCAGGGGACATGGGTTTGAGCCCTGGTCCGGGAAGATCCATATGCTGCAGAGCAACTACGCCAGTGCGCCACAACTACTGAGCCTGCACTCTAGAGCCCCCGAGCCACAACTACTGAGCCCGCGTGCCACAGCTACCGAAGCCCGCACGCTTAGAGCCCGTGCTCTGCAACAAGAGAAGCCACTGCAATGAGAAGCCCCCGCACTGCAACGAAGAGTAGCCCCCACTCGCTGCAACTAGAGAAAGCCCGCACAGCAACGAAGACCCAACGCAGCGAAAAATAAATGTTAATTAATTTTTAAAAAAAAGAAAAGAAAGAAGGAAGTTTTAAAAAAAGACATCACTAGATTGAAATCTTCTCTGAACGCCTTATGTGTGGCTTTGGAAATTACTACCACTTTTGTCCTTACGGTTAACTCTCTTCTCTGCATCCACAGCCAAAGGGAAATCTTCTCACATGTTGTGGAAAACACGTATGTATGTGTAAAAATTACGTCTTACAACAGATTACTAAACTCTCGTCTGCAGCCATCAGGGAATGTGTTTGGAATTCATAAATATCGTGAATATTTGTAATTATACTTTCATTCCCAATTGTGTCCCCCATGTAAGTGTTACTAGCACATATGTGGGTTAATCTCTTTCACAGACGTTTACATAGTGCTTCATACGTTCCAGACATTGTACTAGGAGGCACTTTACACATATTGACATTTTTACTCCTTATACCAATTCTATGAGGTAGGAAACTGAGGCACAGAGCCTAGGTAACTTAGCCATGGTCAAAAGGCTGGTGAGTGTGTTGTCTGAGCCTGATTCCCTGGTGTAACACTTAAGAGCAAGCAAATGCAAATCCTCTTAGAGAAGTGTAAAAACACTTGGACTGGGCTTCCCTGGTGGCACAGTGGTTGGGAGTCCGCCTGCCGATGCAGGAAACACGGGTTCGTG